CAAATATCCTGAGCCCCATGGATTGCCACCAGAAGATGGCCAGGCCAGGAGCAGAGAGCCTTTAAGATATTCTCACCACTGGTTGGTGAGGCCCATGGAGGCCCATGGAGCTCCATGGACGGCTTGCAATCAAAGCTAGAAAATGTACTGCATCCCTCCAGGTCCAGGGATCACAGCCACATTTTGTAGCTGGGATAGCACTGGGAGCTGTGGGTCAGTCCAGGAGGGGCCATTTGAGCCCAGGCCAGAGGTCCAAAGGGGCTAGGAGAGCTCAGGGCTGAGTGGCAGGGCTGCTGATGGCCAAAGCAGAAGACTGAGAGGAGGCCCAAGCAGACAGCCCCAGGTCCTCTGGCTGGGACAGCTCTGGATGTCATCCCAGGCACACTTTGGCAAATGAAATGGGAATGGCACCCTCTGGAGTTGTGCGAAAAACCACTTTGCACACAGGGAGTTGAAGACCCGGGTGAGCAGTGGTCAAGACAATTTCATGAAATGGGACTGACCCTTGGACCAGCCTAGGTGGGCACCAGGTCCAGTTGATGCTGGAACTATGGCTTAAGAGCTCAAGAATTCTTGATTGTCTTGTTGAGTGGGGAGGCCCCAGGTGGGCTGGCTTCTGCACTTTGGGGCAGTGTGTTCCTCCGCTGCAGAGTGTGTGTGTGTGTGTGTGTGTGTGTGTGTGTATAGGGACTGGTGTTCTAGGCTGTACCAGGGTTGGTTCAGCATTGGTCCAAGAAAGCTTGTTTCTCTGCCCTGGGGAGGGCTCAGGGTGCAATGGGCACCCAGAGAGAGGTTGTGAGTGTACTGTCCCAGAGCTGAAGGGAAGTTGGGAGCAGTGAAGCCTGGCCTGAGCAAAAGGCCAGGAGAGACAGAGGTCCAGGAGGGACACCGAAGGGCCATGCCCTAGATGGATGCTGGCACAGTGGGCCTCAGGACTCAGAAGTTGATCCCAGGCCAGGAGAAGAGAGCCAGCCTCAAACCCAAAGCCAGAAAAAACAGCACCTAGGACTCAGGAAGACTAGGCAGGTGGCCAGATCTTCCCATCCTCAGCAGTGGCAAACCGAGGACGGGGAGAGATGAGGAACTGCAGGCAAAGTTACATCCAGCCCCATTGCTATGGCTCAGCAGGTCTCCCAGAACTTGAGGACTCCCGCTCTTCTGACTGATAGGAAGCTCCTTGCAGGTGAGCAGAGGTGGAATTACCCCCCAGCTCAATGCTTTACACGCAGTCCAAAAAAAACCAAACCAAACCCATTGCTGTTGAGTTGATTCTGATTCATAGTGACCCTATAGGACAGAATAGAACTGCCCCCATAGGGTTTCCAAGGAGTGGCTGGTGGATTCGAACTGCTGATCTTTTGGTTAGCAACCCTGTCTCTGAACCACTGCACCACCCAGGGCTTCTTACACACAATAGGTGCTTTATAAATATCTGCTGAATAGTTTAACATAAGAGTTGTAAACACGCTCTTCTGGAATGTAGTGTGGAAAGGAGGGGTTTGCTAAAATATAAAAGCATAAAAGCCCTATTGCCCATCTGCCCAGTTCTGAGCTGCCCCACCCCAAGAAGCCAGATGGAGGGTGGTCAGCGACTGCAAAGTCATACGCTCTTTCTGAATTTTGCCTGGATCCTTTGCGTATAGTGGCACATTCAGACCTGAGAACAACCCTTGGTGGGGGTGGTATTAATGCCATTTACAGAGAGGAAACTGAGGTTCAAAAAAGTACAGTAACTTGCTGAAGGTCATATAGCTCCTGATTTGGATACCCACACTCTGTCTGACCACAGAGGATTCGTTTGGTCGGCCCTGCCAGACCGCAGGGAACCGCGTCTCTCCTATCGCGGACCCCGGCTCCTGGTCGGACCAGGGCTCCTGGCGCGAGGGCGTGCAGGTGGAAGCCGGCTTCTCTTAAACCTTTAGTTTCCAAAGGTTTCCGGCAGGGGGCGCTAGCCTCCTCCCGAAACCCAGGCTTAAGATGGAGAGGTGGTGGTCAGCCGGGTTCCTGCCGGACGTCCCCCCCATAAAGTCAGTTTCAGGAGGAGGGGAGGGCTAGAAGCGATGTGTATAACTGGGGTCAGCAAAAAGGGATAAAGGTGCGAAACCTACTCCGGCCCCACGGCCCCAGACTGCAGTCTAAGGTTGGGGCTGAGGACAGGCGCCCAATGGCAGGGAGAGATAGCTCGCTGGGAGGGCTGGGCTGTTGCCTGAGGGCATGGCCAGAGTCGAGCCCCATGGGGCAGGCGCCGGAAGCCCACCCCTCTGGATGGGCTAGGGGACAGGCATGAGCCCCATTCTGATCCTCGGGGCCCCGATCCCCACTCCCCGAGGGCAGGGGACACTCACTGGCGAAGGGCGAGGTGGCGGTGGAGCCATTGAGGAAGCTAGGGGACCCGGGCACGCCGAGGCCGGCCACGCTCGGCGCCCCGTAGCCGCCGAGGCCAGCCCCGAGGCCGCCGTAGCCGCTCTGCTGCGAGCTGGGGCTGGGCGCGAACCCGTGGGGAGACGCGCTGCTGCAGCTGCGCGCGTAGCCTGCGAGAGAGCGTCCGTCAGCGGAGCAGTGCAGGTAGGGAAGGGGCCACCGGGGCGCCCAGAGACTGCGGGGAGGGGCGGCGGGACGCACCCGGCTGGGGCCCCGACGTGGCGTCCCCGACGGCAATGGCCAGCGGGCTACTGAAGGCGTTGATGCCCACGACGGAAGGATGCGGGTGGCTCGGGGCCAGGGGTCCGAGAGGCGCGGGCGCCCGGGGGGCGCTGTACAGAGCCTCGGCCACGTCGGCCGCGCGCTTCAGGAGGAGGTCCTGCGAAGACAAGAGCAGGGCAAGGACCCGGCAGGCGCCGGGCCTGGGAGAGCCCCAGGTCGGGGAGAGCCCCGGGCCGGGCTGCGCGAGGAGGCGGGCAGGGGCGCCATACCTGGTTACCGCTGGGCACTCCGTACAGCGCCTCCGCCAAGTCGGCCGCCCGCTTCAGCAGCACTTCCTGGGGGCAGGGAGGAGACAGCGGGAAGGAGGGGCAGCCCCTGGGGGTGGTAGAGGGCTTGAAGCCCCTCCGCCCCAGGACACCCTCACCTCCGCCCCGCTGCGCCCCGAAGAGTACCTTGGGCAACCTCTCCGGGTCTCCAGGGTGTCTGGGAATGACTTTCTGTAGCCTCTGGAATCCGTAGTCAATGGTGGGCTCATTCAGAGCTGGGGAGAAGGGCGGTGTTTGCAAGACACCTCCTCCCAGCGCCGGAGCAGGCCGCAAAACACGCAAAGGACGCCAGCAGCTAGTCCTGGAGCCTCCCTGCACACCTCCTCTACCCGAAGCCCAGCCCAAATCCCCTAGAAAACTGCCTCAGGGCACAGGGGTCAGCGAGATTCAGGGAAGTTTACTCAGAGGTTCATTTGTTCGTGCATTCATTCAACAAATACGCAGCATTCATTCAACAAACAGTACTGTGCCAGGCGCTTGGGGTTAACATATATGTAACTATATGATCCCATTTGTGATTAGAAGAAAGGAAACCTTATATACATATTAGCTTCTCCATTCCTAGGGGCAGGACTGAGAGGAGAGTTTTCTGTTTGGACTTGGTCCTACTCCGAGTGTTTAAAGTGTTTTCTATGACAAAAAACACCCAACAGACTCCATTTATTTTGGCTCAGGTGGACTCAGTAGCACCTGATGGTTAGAGGTTTGCCTGCGTCCCAGGTAAAAGAATGGCTCACACCCAGGGCTTCCCGGAGAGGCTGCAGCCTCCAGACCCGGCCTGCCTTCTTCTCCCCCTCCTTCTCATTATGGCCTCGACTTAACCCACTGGCCTCATGACTCCACCTTCTCCACCTCCAACTCCAGATTTAGTGCATTTCCTTCAGTTTTCCCCAAAGCGTAACATACTTCCCTATATTGGCACTTGCCCTTCATTCTCCCTGGACCTCCCTTCCTCCTCATTTTTACCTTGCTAACTTCCATTAGGAAACCCTGGTGGCATAGTGGTTCAGAGCTACAGCTGCTAACCAAAATGTCAGCAGTTCGAATCCACCAATCGCTCCTTGGAAACTCTGTGGGGCAGTTCTACTCTGTCCTAAACGGTTGCTATGAGTCATTATCAACTCCACGGCAATGGTTTTTTTTTTTTCTTTTCTTGGTTTTAACTTCTATTCACCCCTCCCGTGCCAGTTTAGCCTAGTTTAGCTGACACCCCCTCCAGGCGGTTTTCTGTGTCCACCATTCCCCTCGACTGTGTCTCTCCGTTACTGCACACTGTGTTCACTGTTCGGCGACCCCACAATAGGCTGGAGCCCCCAGCCTATGGGGTGTCCAGTGCCCCGTGAAGGGCACGGTGAATATCTGTTGGGGATGGTGAGAAGTGGGTGGCTTGGGCTAGGGCATGGCAGGAGGATGAAGGGGGCAAGATCCGGGCCAGTGGCCAAATGAGCCAGGGATGGAGGGGATTCTACACTGCCACCTCCAGGGAATGTCTCTCACACGTCTTGTGTAA